TACTCTACAAGCCCATTTGGGGTTGGTGTCGGAATAAAAAAAGTGTTTTTATTAGTAGAGTTGTCAAAAAAATTGTTGCCAGTAAAAAAATATATTAGGTGTTTGGTGATACATTATATTAAGGACTACTTACCTAATGAAAATTAGTTGCTTAAAATATTCAACCCTATGCTCAAAATGCGGTTTTAAAAGTTCCAAATTATAAATACACCATTTGCTTTTACCTAATTGTATCATTTTGGGCCTCTTTCTGGGCTGGGCTGTAACGGGCTTTAGTTTGAGCTTGTGGACTTCAACATGGACCGATCCAACTGACATGAGCCCAACCCATGTCTATCGGGTGACACGTGTCGCTTTAAGAAGGCGGTGGAAAATGGAAAGTTGAAATTTATTGCCTTCTTGAAAAAAAAAACACACACACACACCGAAAAAAAAAACACTCAAACATTTACGAATTAACGAAGTAATTATTTTCAGGTGTTATTTCATGTTGAATTAAATCAAGACTTCTCGCTACTCTTATATAACCCATGTGGATCAGTAAAAGCAAAGCAAAATACAAAGCAATGTAAATAGTTTAAAAGGATTACATTACAATTTGATGCTTAAAAGAAGCTTAGGAGGCTACTTTTCGTTAGGCAGGTTGGGCTTGGGTCAAATTTCCAACCCGATATCAATTCGTGTTGGGTTGAGAGGTTTGGGCAAACTCAAACCTCACTAACTTAAATCCAAATCCATCCGACAGACTTGAGCTTAACTTGATTAATTTAATCAAAATAATAAGTAATAATAGGAGTCGAATACAACCGATTTTATGTGAGTAAAAATTGATATCGTTATGGTGTTGGGAATATTAATGACATTATCATAACGTCAGTTTCACTCACATAAACCAGTCAGACAATTCCAACGACTCTCAATCATTTTTCAAAAATAAAAAGACAATGTCACATACACATACCTCAGTTTAGTGAAATGTCCAGGCCGTCTAATCCCTTAAATCAATCAAGTGAGAATAAATTAGGAGATATTCGAGTCCCACCTGAATGATTTAAGGACCAAAAAATTCGTTCCTCGTGATTGATTCAAGGGTCAAGACGTTCTTTTGAATCATTATCTTAAAATTCACTCCCTTTGTCATAAAAGAATCGCTCATGAAATGACCTAAACCAATAAGGAAATCTCAATTCACTAGGCCTCGACATTTCGGCGGACCTAGGTCCTATAAATTTTTTTCCAAAAGGTATTGGGATTAACACATAGAGTTAGAAGTGAACTAAGGTTTGGATAAGGCCTCTATAGCAGGAGTTGGTCTTATTCTCTCATCAACAAACCTAGGTTAAGACATTATAAAAAAAAACACAGATGGTGTAGAATAATGGGTCCCAATATCCACGAACTCTCCCTCAAAGGAACAATACAAAAACATTTTTGCAGTGTATTAAAAATCCATGGGCCAGGAAATTTCATTACAATAGGTACACTTCTTGGTGACAGTATCAAATCTGTGGACCACTAAGCTTAAGTGTCTTGATAAAGTTTTCTAGTCCTTTTCTTTCCTACCCTTTTCTAAAATCCTTTGAAATCATATTGGGACCCTATTCTATCCAATGGGCAATGGTCCACACTGTACAAACCCATCTTGGAAGGTCCATTTTACATGCGTTTTATTTTTTTTTGACTCCTACAGTGTTAATTTTTGTAACAAAAAAAAAATTGGTATAATTTTATTTTCTTTTACACAGTGCTAAAATATTTCGGACCCAAAATCAAAACACCAAATAGTTCTTTTTTTTTTTTTTCCTTATTTTGATAACTGTATAACAGTAGCGCAATATGGGCCAAAAATAAAACGCTTAAAACATCGTTTTCAAATGTGCTTCCTATTTTTTCCCAATAAAAATATTGTTTCTGTTTTAGTCAAAAATAAAATGCCTAAAATAAAGCCATGCCAAACTCTAAATAATAAATCGGATTTAAATCTTAATAGAAGTACGTGCATATAAATTTGCTTAAAGATTCCAAAAACCCTACTCCACTCGACGACAGAATTGTATCAAACCCTACTCCACTCGACGACAGAATTGTATCAAACTATGTTTTATAATCACAAGTTAGGTTTGAAGTTTACAGATACCTACATGATAATGTTAGTAGTTAAGATAGTGCCATTCATTGTATTTGTTTAGTGTAGTACTAGTTTATACTACTACTTTTAAAGAAGGTATACAGTCCTTCTCACTTAAAATATTTCTACTATTTGGTTTAAAAGTTAGTGCCATTATTTCTAATTTCAACACTGTTACAGTGTTTCTTCGTGCCTCAACACATTAGTTCTATGTGCTAAAATTTAGAACAAATATGTTGAAATACAATATATGAAAGTCGTAAATTTTTACAATAAGTTACAGTAAGATCCGGATATAAAAGATTGTGGATAAATCACAACGGCCCCGTTGTGGTTTGGACAAATTACTCTATAGAACGTTTAACTTTTGTTACTTTGATTTTCTCTAAAATTTGGCACATGCGCTCAACTAAGAGCGGAGCCAGGATTTGAATTCAGGGGGTATAGTGGGAATTTTTTTTTTTTTTTTTTTTTTTTTTTAAAAAGAATAAGAATAAGAAAAAGGGAAAGAAAAACGAATTTTGAAGGAAACAAATTAGAGCATGATTAAATAAGAAAATTTAATCTTTTAAAAAGATAATTAAAGAAATTTAAAGAGTAAAAGAGAAAAAAATTTAAAAAAATTTGGAAACTAATAATTTTAGGGGCATAATATATATATATATATATATATATATATATATATATATATGTAAAATAAATAAATAAAAATCATATACATATATAGGGCGGGGCGGGGGCATGGGGCACACATTGGCTCCGCCCTTGTGCTCAACAACACTCCTGTCATTAATAAAAATTTAAAAAATAACTAAATTGTCCTTTTCTTGTGTTAAAAGATCTCAATAACCTAATATTTTGAGATAAAATGAAAAAAATACCATGAAATGCCAACTTTCATACCAATTTCCAATTATTAAATTTTACAAAAATAATTTTTATTTATTTTTGATAATGACATTTGATTAGGTTTTTTTATATCTTTTTTTATAGGGTTTGATTAGGATTCCTTTTTTTTTTTTTTTCAAATAAAAATAAATTAGGTATCTTAAAATAGTGTTTATAAGAAGTGGAAAAAAGGGATACAAATTATTTTATTATATTATTATTAAATTAAATAAGTATATATAAGACAATTTATATTTTTTGAAATGTTTAAAATAATAAAGTTCAAACGATCCATTGATATGTAATTTATTCAAATCTTAAAAAAGATTAGTGTAATTTACACGAAGACATTCAGGAAGAAAAAAATAATTTACGCAAAGATTGTTATACATTGGTTGTTGTTATTGTAGGTGTATTCATATATATCTATATATATGTATTGAAGTAGGTAAACTATTTTATGACCCAAATAGTCGCTCTACTCTTACTCGCATAGCCGACCTGACCAGCTCCACAAAATCACTCTACCAACTCCACAAAAGTCCATTAGCATAATCTCTGTTATGACACCAAGGCAACCTTCACACAAATTAATACGAGTAGTTTACGAGGATAATCTTTATGTTTCCGAGTCATGTTTTAATTTAGAATTGAAAGGAATTTAATTTAAAATTTATATTAAATTTTATTTATTTGCAAATTCAAAATACTGACTTAGTGTGGCCAAAAATGGCATAAGAATTTTCTCATTTTGTCCATAAAATAAAAATCCTTTTCAACCATTTAAAACATTTGGTTCCCTTTTATATTAATAATTTTATGACAGTAAACAAGTAGTATTAAAATTCATTTGTTCAAAAATCGCTTTTAAAACTATTTTGAAAGAATTACACTAAACAAATTCTTATAAATTAAAATTTAATTTTCAAAGAATTCAAAAAATGTCTTGTAGTGATTAAGTTATTTTATTTTTGCCAAAGCAAAAATCGACACACCTATCAGGCTACAACCCTTTGGGCTGATTAAATTATTTTAATTCAGTCTCCAATTTCAATCGTCAGTCTATTGCCCTATTGAAATTTTATACTATTCAACATTTCGTTACTTCTACAAGCAAAAATATTTATTTAGATTGTGGTGACCTAGTAATATTTTTCACTTTAAAATAAAAGGTGTCAGGGTTGAAAGACAAATTAGAAAACTTTCATAATACTGGAAATAAACTTAACATTTTAAAGAATAAACTTTAAAAGCTATTTGGAATCTTAGGATGTTAGAGTAAATTGATTAAAATATATATATATATATATATATATATATATATATTTTCTCTTCTTTACTTTTTCCAAACAAGAATATGCTCTCATTTCTTTTTTCTTCATAATTTATTTATACATGAATCTAGATTATTGTTTTATTTTCTGTCTTTTCTAACTAATTTTATTATTTATATTTTTTTAATTCTATTTATTTAAACAAAACCCGGAGAACAACATCTAATAATTTATCATAATTGCCAAATCTCGGTAATAAAAATTTTAATCCAATTTTTTTTTTTATCATTTTTCTAAAAATATTAAAAAGAAACGAAAAAAATATATATAGAAATTTACGAAAAGTAACCAAACACAATCTTATACTTCCACCGAAAATCAATCCTTCTGTTGATTCCTTCCTAGGAAAAAGTGAAGTAAAAATGTGAGTGTTTTCAAACGGACAAGTTGTGGCTTTAAAAAAGCCCAAATAAATTCATAGGGACAAAATTATTATGTGGCTTTAATTTTCTTGACCTCCTTTGTCTCACATGACTCTCACTCACGTGACTCTCACTCCCACCACACTCCCTTGGCGCGTGCGCTTCACCACTCCCCTTCGCGCCTAAAACTCCATGGCGTTACCATTACTCTGCATGAAGTTGACACCCGCTCTTCCATCAAAGCAACTGTCCACCTGTCTCTCTCTCCTCTCTCTACTTTATCATCACTCTGCACTCTGTCTACTTTGTGACTTTGTAATCTCTCTGATACACACATATGTGTGTGTATATATATATATATGCAAATCATTTACTGCACGGGTGTTTGTCGGTGGACTTGAGGTACCACTAGCAAAATTGCTTCATTCATGTGGTGAATTTGTGTTTCTTCCACATTAATCTTAACGTTGCAATTAAAGTCGTTTTTTGGGTTCATTCAATTCTGGTCATCATCAATCTTCATTTCTCGATCAGCTTCGTTGATAGTGATAATGGTGGTGACCCATCAACTGTATCAGCTACACTGCTAAAAAAAAAAAAACCAAGGTTAGCACTCTTTTAACACCTCAATTGAACTCACCCACAATTTATTTTGTAATTTAATTTAATTTTTTTTCTTCCTGTTTTTGCCTTTTAAGCTTCATGGGTAGCTAAATTTTGTGTTAATCATATAGGAGTATTTTATTCATGTTCTTGAAGGATTTATGTGTGTGTGTGTGTGTGTGTGTGTGTGTGTGTGTGTTTTCTTATCAAAATGTTGATATGCAATTGTTTATGCATGATCTGCCTGAAACTGTGAGTTTTTTGTTTACTACTTTCAGTTTTATGTGTCAGAACAACCATTTTAGCTATAGTTTTCCGATAGAATCTAAGCTCTGGAGAGTAATTTGAGTTTAATTATAAGATCATTATTCAATATTCTTGTATTGAGTGTATTACCATACTTTATGGTTAAAGGGCTGTTAATTTTTAGTATTTTGCCTTTTAAGTGTAAGATTGTTACGATAAAAGCTTCTTCAATTGTAAGTTTATTGATGTAGTTGGAGTTAGATTGATCGACACCAGTTCGGACTTCAAACTGCAAAGCCATTAATTTATGGATTCAACTGTTTGATAAAATCTCTCAGAGAACCTATATCGGTAATACCATTGACGCAGCTCGAGTTGGTCAATTTCACCTTTTAAGTATAAGCACATTGATGTGCTACGTTTTTGCATTTCTTGTTGAATGTTGATCGAGCAGACATACTCGGCATCTGGATCTCGCACCCCTTACATCCTTTATTTGAAACTCCTCTGTTGCATGACTTTCAATTTCTTTCGTTGCACTTACAGACTACATGCCTGGGACTATAGAAGCTGGGTGTAGTTTAAAACATCGAATTTCCTACTACTTTAGTTTAGTGCCTCAAATTTTAGTGCCTATTGTGCCATACATAAGCTCACAATCCTCTTTTCATGTTTCGCTAGCTGATAATCGATCACAACGAGCCATATCATGGTACATAGAGCACCATTGCGCGGAGACACTTTTGGGAATTCACTTTTTTTCGTTAGTATAAATGACAGAAGTAGAAGGATATGTATTTTGTACATGGTGATGTGAAAATTGCCATACATAAGCTCAAAATATTTAGAGTTCAAACAAATGGGATCAATTTTTTTTCTTGAAATATTTTTCTGTTCAAACAAACATGGGTGATGACATGTTTGAATGATCTATTTTATAAGGGTAACTATTAAACTTTTTTTTAACTTTGTTTAGATTTGATCACTTGATCACTGGTAATCTAATTTTCCATTTTTATAAAAAGAAGAATTAAATAAAGCTGACCCTAATCTATTTAATGATTTCTTTGGAAAGTAATCTATTTTATGGTAAGAGAAGTTACTTATAAAAACTTTGAGAAGTTATTTGTAGAAGAAAAATAAAATAAAATAAAATTGATTTGGTAATTGGGGATAGGTGTACCCTAATCTATTTAATGATTTGAGAAGTTATTTAAAATAAAATTGATTTGGTAATTGGGGATAGGTGTACCCTAATCTATTTAATGATTTGAGAAGTTATTTATAGAAGAAAAATAAAATAAAATAAAATTGATTTGGTAATTGAGGATAGGTGTACGCCTAATAATTTGTTTTCTTGAATGGCAAGTAATTTTTAATTTTTTAAAGTGTGCAGCATGGTTGGTAGGTTGAGACCTAATAACATTTTCTCAAAGTGAGCTCTCTCGTTCATTTCCCTATCTACAGTATTCGTATCTCTTCTTCCAACTAAATAGATGTTATGTTTTTCTTCTCATCTTTTTGCAATATTTCAAAAACCCTAATTTGTTAACATCTCTCCTTCACTCTCTTTCCCTAATTGTTTGCTCTTCAATACCACGGTGGTATCCATTTTTGAATTTGATAGATCAATTTGGTCTATTTCTATTCAATAATTAATTTCATTCCGTTTGATCCATGGCTTTGGGTCATCTCAACACTGGGGAAGTCAACTAGGATATCTTCTTGGTGGTGGTTGTGGTGGTGGTGTCAACCAACTTATATCCTTCTCCTCCTCCTCCGCTTATAACCAATCAAGTTGGTCTCTTCTTTTGCGAGGAATAACAACAATCAACTCTTCTTGTAATTATTGTTTAACTAATTTTGGCGGGGACCAGATAAAACCCCATGATCATCCACTGTTGTCATCAGTGGCGCCGTGTCTGTTGATACCATCTCCTAAGGATAAGGATGATGATCATGAGCCCTTTGCAGCAGGCATTGCAAAGGAGGTAAGTAAAGGTACTGGAGAGGAAAACGAGGGTAGTAATTTTCCAAACTATTGCTTGTACAGCCTAGCTGAAAGAAAACTGGTGAGTCTCAACAATGTGAGAAGCAAGAGTAACATTGTCATACCCGATCATGCAAACTGCATCGGCTCCTCCCATGGATGGTTGTTCTGTACTGACCTTCGTCGCGACGACTATGTTCTCTGTGACAACTACGGTCTATTTTTAACCAATCAACTCATCACTCCTGTTCCTCCCACAATCCAAATTCCATCCTTGTCATGCATTCCCAAGAAGCTTGTAATGTCATCTCCTCCATCAGCCTCAGGTTATGACAACTCCACAGTACTAATGGCAATAGACTTTCAAAATTCCTTTGCCTACTACAAATTTGGTGACTCGAGTTGGCGTGGCATCGTACTCGATGAGTTGCAGGATGGCATCAATCGTTGTTGGCCGGATGAGAAGTATTGTCCAGAGGACTACAACGATATTGTGTATTGTCCCAAGGATCAGTTGTTCTATTTCATAGACTGCACTGGACAAATTGAAGCTTGGGATCTTTGCGGTCCTTATTACAAACTAAGGGGGCACGGTCCTCCTTGCAGACTGAGGATTGGTTTTGATGAATGCAGTATTCAAAAGCCGGATTTCCCAAGGTACGAACAGAAAATGAGGAGGAGAGAGTCCCCTGGGAAATACTACCTGGTTGTGGATCCATTTTCTGGAGATATTTTGATTGTCCGTAGGTATGTTGAACCGATTGCAGAAGATGGAACCATTGTTGTTGATTGGGAGAATTCGAAGGATCATTTCTATTGTAAGACTGTTCGCTTTGAGGTTTACAGGTTCAGTGCGGCTAAGAAAAGCTGGGACTATGTGGAATGTTTGGGTGATGGAGTGGTGTTTGTGGGAGACAATCAGACCTTCATTGTCTCTGCTAAAGACTTCCCTCCTGGAGTATTGAGGCCCAATTCTATTTATTTCACCGACGACCATGAAGAATCTCGCAAAAACAAAAAGAAGGCTGATATGGGTATCTACAACTTGAGAGATTTCACTGTCATGTCCATTTTTGCCTCTCATCATCCATTCAACAACAATCCGCCACGCCCCTTTATGTGGTTCAACCCAAACCCATGCATGCTAGAGAGGAATTGACCTAGAGTTTGGATTACTTGTTTCTAAGTGATATTTAGAGATTAACTCAATGAAGAAAATCATGCTATATATATTATACAATACTTTGATCATGCAACTTCATTTAATTGTGCCTTAATATTTGGATTTATTATTATTTGATTGACAATTATGGATTTTAAGGGTGTGGTGAAAGGCCCTTTGGATCAATGAAGTTTTCACTAACGAATCATTTTACAATTTTTCCTCTCTTCAAACTTAGAAAGCGCGCACAATGCCTGAGAGTGGGAACGTGCTTGGAGCGTAAAAATGATGCCCATTGAGAAGAATTGCGTGACTTAGTTGAAAACATGAGACTAGTGAACCTCAGGCCATGGAGTGATAACAAGGGACATCACAGTAACAATCGGCTTTTAATGAAATGTTGAAATTGCAAACATCCTACATCGTTAATCGGCCCTTCACCCTCTCTGTTCATGGTTTAATTTGTTGAAATAAGACACTAGTAGATTTTGTTAAGAGACAGCAAATTGATTATTAATTGTAATTTTTTTTAATCAAAAGTTGATTATCTTGCCAGCTTTCGTTGATGGAGCCACTTAGGGTTATTCATAAAGAGCCATTTCCTGCATGTAGACCCTGATATATTTTAATTGGAAACATGTTACAAATTTATCACTTTCTTTTGACAAGATTGGCAACTCTAGAATGGATTCGTGGAAAAAATTGACAAAGAAATTCAATGACAGAACTTTGAAATTGTCACGGGTGAGAGATTAGGCTTCTGTACTTACAATCTCAAGTTCTCAAGTCCCGTTCGGTATCAAACCTTATTCATCTTCCTAAGGCAGTAGTAAGCAGAATTTTCTTTTTCAGCTCACTATCTTCCATTATTTAATCAAAATTTGAATAGAGACTGAATGACTTTTGTTTGTGAACGGTTTTTATATTGGTTTATAGAGCTGGTTCTAAAGAAGCTCAGTTTTCTATATTTGTTCTTGAATAGAAATTTAACTCATGGACAACAAGTCATGGCTTTGGAGGAAACGATCTTCGGAGAAGACCATCATTGCAAAAGACCGTCCCGACGCATCTCTGAAAGGAAATGAAGAAGGGGTTGTGGAACCTCACCCATTCTTTGTGGTTCCAACAGAGAAAGAATTATGTCTGGAGAACTCTGTGAAAAATCTAAATGAGAAGTTAGCTTCTCTCACCAGTGAGTGTAAAGCTAAAGATGACCTTGTAGCAAAATATGAAAAAATGGCACAAGAAGCCATTGCAGGTGATCTTTTGTTATCTTTGTTTTGCTATATGATGCTTCAAATGCTTGGTTTCTGTTTATCATCTTTTTGGTAATCAATTTATTTTTAATTCTTTTATTTATTTATTTATTTATTTTATATAAATGATTTGTAGCATTTGGTTGATATCATCAATGAATAATTTTTTTAGGCCGGGAGAAGGCGGAGACAGAGATAGTGTCTCTAAAACAAGAATTAGATGAAGCTTCACGGGAGAGACTTGCTGCAAATGAAAGGTTAACTCACCTAAACGTGGCATTGAAGGAATATATGCAGCAGTTAAATTCTGTTCGTGAAGAACAGGAACAAAGAGTGCATGATGCTGTTATGAAGACTTCAAGAGAATTTGAAAAATCACAGAGAAAATTAGAGGAAAAATATACGGAAACCTCTAAAAGGCTTGCAAACTTGAGCGTTGAGAATACTCAACTAAAAGACGCCCTAGTACTGAGAGAAAAATTGATTGAAGATCTAAGCAGACGAAAGTCTCAGACTGAAGCAGAGTTCGATACATTAATGGTCAGACTAGATTCTGTTGAGAAAGAAAATGCTTTTCTGAAGTATGAGTTTCACATGCTTGAGAAGGAGCTGGAGATTCGGAATGAGGAAGTAGAATTTCATCGCCAATCTTCTGATGCATCACACAGGAAACAGATGGAGGGTGTAAAGAAAATCTCCAAGTTAGAAGCAGAATGTCAGAGATTACGTGTCCTAGTACGAAAGCGGTTACCAGGTCCTGCTGCTTTGGTGAAGATTAAAAATGAAGTTGAAATGCAGGGAAGAAATCAAACAGAGGTGAGAAGAAAGTTGAATCCTATAACTGGAGGTTTGGTTGTTAGAGATGCCACACGAGACAACCCTCTTGAAATTCCTAGCAAAAAGGTCAGTTTCTTGATCCAGCGACTGTGTGACACAGAAGAAGAAAACAAAATTCTCAAAGAAATTTTAGGAAAGAAAGAAAATGAACTCCATTCTTCGAGAATCATATGTGTTCGAACAGCTTCCAAATTATCACAGGTTGAAGCTCAGCTTAGAGAGCTTTCAAAGGATCACCAATCTATGGAGTTGGTTAGGTGCAGTCCCATTTCAAATGAACTCCCTCTGACATCTGGTTGTGACTTGGGCAATGATGATGAGACTGTTGGCTCCGGGTCATGGGCTTCTGCCTTAATTTCAGAATTGGAGCATTTCAGACATGGGGAAGCCAAGAATTTTCCTGAAAACAAAACCAGGGTTTCAGACATGAGTCTAATGGATGATTTTGTTGAGATGGAGAAGTTAGCAATGGTTTCTGTTGAAAACCCTTCTGGAAGTTCTTTCGTTACTTCAGAAACAAGTCGTGCATCAAGTGGGTATGATTTGGATATAACTGGTATGGAACTAGTTCCAGTACAAGTTGATTCCGTAGACTTGGAACCGGAAAACCAAATGAGAGATGGAACAACTGGAGAATCCTCTAATTGGCTTCAAAGTGTGTTGAAGATCATCTTGGACCAAAACCGTGCCTCGAAAAGAAACCTTGATGAACTGCTGGAGGATATTAGAATTGCTTTGGCTTGCGTGAATCATTCAAGTGCCGATGCAGCTACTAAAGTGAAAAGCTCAAAGCATTCTGGAGCGTCTGACTCACTCCCTATTAGCGGCTACATCACTTGGAGATCTCCAAATTCTTCTCCAAGGGTGAATGCATGCAATCGTGTTTCTAATAGTGATGTGTCAGTGGAAAGATCATGCAATGAACATGTTCATTCCAATCTGAGTACGTCGATTTGTAAAATTATTGAGCTTGTCAAAAAGATTGATTCAACATCTTTAAAAGAGGGTAATAGTCCAGACAATTTGTCAGACAGAGATAAGAGTGGCTTATCAAATAAAAATTCAGTAACACCTGCAGAGTACTCGTTTCATATTTTCCGATGGAAAAGTACTGATTTGAGCACTGTTTTACAGCATTTTGTTGAAACTTGTAACAATCTGTTAAACGGGAAAGTGAGTTTTGAAAAATTTGCTGGGGAGCTGACATATGCGTTGGACTGGATCATAAACAACTGCATTGTCTTCCAAGATATTTCAGGTTTGAGATGTAAAATCCAGAAGCATTTTGGTTGGGATGGAGAAAATAAAAGTGAACCTGGAGTTGAAGTCAAAGAGCAGTCATCATGTTTGCCCTTGGATGCTTGTTCACATAGTCAAAATGTTCAAGTCCAAGTGGAAAAGATTCAGACTGAACTGCGAGCAGAAAATAAGAGATTTGAAGATGATTTGAAGAAGATGGCATCTTCACAGAGGGATTTGGAAGTGAAGCTGCAATCAGCGAACGATAAGAGCGAGGCCTTGAAAATTCAACTTCAGGAATCGGAACGAAGAATTGGAAGTTTAAATGCAGAACTGGGAACTTTGAAAGAATCCAAGAGAAGTATTGAGGATCAGATCGAAAATCAAATTTTGATTAACGAAGATCTCGATACCCAGCTTACTGTTGCTAAATTTAAACTGAATGAGGTTCTCCAGAAGCTATCATCTCTTGAAGTAGAATTTGAGGATAAAAATCACTGTTGTGAAGAATTAGAAGCTACATGTTTAGAGCTTCAGCTCCAACTAGAAAGGTATCTGTTTGTTTTTTTGAGTTCTCTTTTATGTGCAGAATAAACAATAATGTTACCAATAACAAAGTTGCCTGATTTCTGGATTATGTGATATGCAGTGTTGCCAACAACGAAATTCCGATGGACAACGTTAATCAAGAGGAGAAGATGGAGGAGAAGATGCTCCAATCTGTAAGTTCCTTTATTGATGACAAAATTTACTTTTGTACCAAACTAATGTGTAGTATAAGAGAAGCTACTTTACACCTTTGGAGGAGGAGGAAAAAAAAAAAAAAAAAAAAAAATTATTACAATAAGTATCACAAACTGAAGCAAATAGTTTATCGAAAAAATTTCTCTCTTAAATATTGTGGCTATTTTTTCCCTTAAATATTGTGGCTTCTATTATGACTACACAGCCGACTAGTGAAGTCGTTCAGGGACTTCATTATAGAGGAGCACCAGCAATTAGATTATTCACGCGCATGGTACTCTATCTCATTCCATTTATCTGTAATATGTGTGTGACCTTTGGGAGCCATGGGGCAATAAGATGAGGTGCTGCCTTCCAAAGATAGTGTGCCCTGATATTTCTATTCATCTTTCTCTGCAATTCTCTTTTAGGAACAGATATTGGGTGTGCACGGTGCACCGGCGCATCTGAGCCGTATGTGCACAACACATGCCGGCGCGTGCATAACACGTACAGCTCGGATGAGCCCAGTGCATGGTGCGACGGGCGCACCTAATACCTTCTCCTCTTTTAGAATCAGGATCACCTACGTGTGACTTATGGGATCCTATGTTTGCATCTTATACCGCTTATGCAACACAATACATAACTTAAGAATCAGTGATGTAAAGTTGTTGCGTAAGCGATCTAAGGTAGTTGTTGCATAAGTGATGTGAAGTAGTTGCGTTGGCACAAAACATCATGTGGCACAGGACAGGAATCGAGTTCTTTCGTTTATCTACATGTACATCTCTAAGGTGGGCTGTCAAATACCATGGCAGCCACATACCATCATTGTGATTGGGGTAAAATAAAACATGAACTAGTTCATTAAATACCATGTTAGTCACCATCAACATGATTAGGGTAAAAGAAGTGAACTAGTGTCTTTTCATGATGGCCTAAAGTTAGTGTATTTTCTTTGTTATGATCTTAAAACTTATTTGTAAAACCCGATAGAGCCACTCAAAAACTTTGGGGTGTATGACAACCTTAATTATTTTCCAAAGGGATAGCCTAATGGCAAAGACTCTCGCCTCACAACTTGGAGGTCGGGAGTTCGAATCCCCTTGGGGCCACCCCTAGGGAATTTTCCAGGTAATTGTCCGGTGCATGTAGGACGGGGGATTGCATGTGCCTGCTTGTGGATTATGGAGTGCTCTAAGAGGCCCAACACCACCATCGAAAAAAAAAAAAAAAGAAAGTTATTTACTTATCGTACCACAAAACATGCACTAAATAACTAAAGTGAAGCAGTAGTGAGGAAGGCTTCTTTTTATAAATTGGAAGTGTCTCGGATACCATTGTAAGTCAACAGATGTTCATATTTGCAGGGTTGGGAGATCAAAGCTGCATCAGCAAAGTTGGCTGAGTGCCAAGAAACCATCGTAAGCCTCGGGAAACAATTAAAGGCACTCTCTTCATCAAAGGAAACAACAGTTCTTGAAAAGGTTCTCTCTACCACCAGCAGCACCACCACCAATAATAAGACCCTGAGCCAACGCTCATCTCTACGTGATCGCATGCTAGCCGAGGACGGTGTTGGAGCAGAGTATCTGGAGTCCGACAATTGTGACACCTTTTGTGCTCCTGGTGCTCTTCTAGTACCTCATGAAGCAAGTTTTGGTTCGAGGCACGGAACCAAGACAGCAGGCATTGGGGCTCTGGCTATTGTTCCTAGTAAGAAAGGGGGAGGAGGTGGTTTTCTGAGGAAGCTACTGCTGAGAAGGAAGAGATGGAGCGGCAAGAGGACATCCTCTCCTTTGCCGCGCAAACAATAAAAAACCAGCAGTGTTCAAGGTTTGCTTGTCAATAGTTTTAATGTTTTTTCTTTCCACCTTGTTGGTTAGGAATAGTTAAATGTTGTGGAGAGGCTTGTATAGTATTGCAAGTGTTAGTGATGAGAGTGGGGCTTGTATGGTGTTGCAAGTACTACTGCTGATGCACGTACCTGGATGGCGACACATTCGGGAGCAATGGCACCGAGACGTGGTGGTTACCGGGCGTAGCGTTCGACAGAGAAGTGTATTTAGCTGCAGCAGATGATGGAAGTGGGCAGGAGAAGCAGAGTGGCAATGGAGGAAGATAGCTCAGCTTAGAAGCTGGGAAGAAGAGGAATGAAGAAAGTAGTTTTTGCGCATGCAACTTCTATTTAGTCTTGTAAACAGATGCTTAAGTTTTATAATAAGTCTTGCAAAGCTCCCCTTTAGCATTTCTTTTTTCGTAGTTCGGTATTTTGGTGTCCTAGATAGAGAGGAACCGCATCAATCCATCCCGAACGTGGTGGTTAAACTCTACTCCAGTGACAATATTCTAGGGAGGTCCCGCAAAAAAAATAGCTCGATGTCCATGCCAGGATGATAAAACGCTCCTCTTTTCTTTTGGCACACATCTTGATGGCAGCATCAGCACATACCCTTCGCTCCCGTTTGGTTAGGAAGAAAAGCATAAACACATTCCCCTTGGGCTCCCGTTTGGTTAGGTCGAAAATAAGTTATACTGCTTTGTGTAACATCAAGTTGCAACAACAAACAAAGCATTTTTTCTATTTACTTGGGATCAATTGTAACAAAGTATTTTTTCTAATTACTTGGATCGGTTACAAAATTTTTATTTTTTCACCACTTTATTTAAGGCCATAACTTAGGTCAAACTATATGTACTTGGGTCACCACTTTCACATTCTACTAACTCGACCCAAACTGTAAAGTACGCCTAAATGGATAGCGATTGAGTTAGGAGAAATATGTACTTTTTATGTGCTTTTGGAGAGAACTAAGATATATATATATACACAATGTTTTGTAACTCATTGAATATATTTTTTTATATATATTTTAATTATTTTATTTTATTTATATGTCCTTGTCTAATTATATTTTCTTTTATTAAAAAATTCATAATAAACAGGTAAATAGAGAGGTTATATGTGATAAAGTTTTATTTTAAAATTAATTAATAAATAATTTTTATATTAAAAAATAAATAGTGAAATGCTAAAACTCTTTACACTTTTATATTTTACTTATATGTATTATTATATTATTATATATTTTCTTTAAATATGTCATTGTCTAATATGATACAGTTTTATAGAAAATAAAATAGGTAATTTGTGGTAGAGTTCTATAAAATAATTTATCATTTGTGGTAAAGTTTTATATAAATTATTTTATTTTCTTTAAATATATCCTTGTCTAATTAGATTTTCTTTTTATTAAAAAATTCATAATAAATAAATAAATACAGATTATATGTGATAGAGTATTAAAAACCTCATAACAAATAGATAAATACAGGTTATATGTGATACAATTTTAAAGAAAATAAAATAGTTAATTTGTGTTAAAGTTTAGGTAATCTGTGTTAGTGTTTTATAGAAACTCTTTTAATATATCCTTATTTAATGTGATAGAGTTTTATTGAAAATAAAATAGGTAATTTGTTGTAAAATTTTATAGAAATTATTTATTTTCTTTAAATATATATATCCTTGTCTAATTAGAATTTTTTTTATTAAAAAATTGTAATTTGTGTTAGAGTTTTAGAAAAATTATTTTATTTTTTATATCAATTAATAAATATTTTTTATATTAATAATTCTTGTCTAATTAGATTTTCTTTAATTAAAAAACTCATAATAAATAGATATATCGGTAATTTGTGTTACAGTTTTACATAAACTATTTTAAAAATTTATTTTATTTTCTTTAAATATATCATTGTCTAATTATATTTTCTTTTACTAAAAAACTCATAATAAATATATAAATACAGGTTACATGTGACAGAATTTTAAAGAAAATAAAATAGGTAATTTGTGATATAGTTTTATAAAAATTATTTTATTTTCTATAAATATATTCATAATAAAAAAATAAATACAGCTTATTTGTGATAGCGTTTTATAAAAAAATAGAATAGCTAATTTGTGGTACAATTTATAGAAATTATTTTATTTTATTTAAATATATTCTTGTCTAATTAGATTTTAATTTATTAAAAAAACTCATAATAAATATATAATGTGATAGAGTTTTATATAAAATAAAACCTCTAATTTGTGATAGATTTTATAGAAATTATTTTATTTTCTTTAAATATATTATTATTTAATTATATTCTCTTTTATTAAAAAAACTCATAATAAATAGATAAATAGGTAATATGTGTTAGAGTAAATCTTTTAAAAACTCTTTTTATATCAATTAATAAATATTTTTTTATATTAATAATTTTTGTTTAGTTAGATTACCTTTTATTAAAAAAATTCAAAATAAAAGATAGTTTGTGGTAGAGTTTTAGAAAAATTATTTTATTTTTATATTAATTAATATATAATTTTTATATTAATAATTTTTGTCTAATTAGATTTTATGTTATTAAAAACTCATAATAAATAAATAAATAGGTAATTTGTGTTAAAGTTTTATATAGAAACTCTTTTAAAAACTCTTTTTAAATCAATTAATAAATATTTTTTTATATTAATAATTCTTGTCTAATTAAATTTACTTTCATTAAAAAAACTCATAATAAATAGATAAATAGGTAAATTGTGTAAGATTTTATAGAAAGTCTTTTAAAACCTCTTTTTTATATCAATTAATAAATATTTTTTTATATTAATAATACTCGTATAATTAGATTTCCTTTTATTAAAAAAACACATAATAAATAGATAAATAAGTAATTTGTGTTAGAGTTTTATAGAGACTCTTTAAATATATCTTTGTCCGATAAAGTTTTATTGAAAAAAAAATAGATAATTTGTGGTAGAGTTTTATAGAAATCATTTTATTTTCTTTAAATATATCCTTGTCTAATTAGATTTCTTTTTATTAAAAAAACTCATAATAAATAGATAAATAGTTAATTTGTCTTAGAGTTTTATGAAAACTCTTTAAATATATATTTGTCTAATGTGATAGAGTTTTATTGAAAAATAATAGGTAATTTGTGGTAGAGTTTTATAGAAATTATTTTATTTTCTTTAAATATATCTTTGTCTAATTATATTTTTTTTATTAAAAAATTATAATAAAAGGCAATTTGTTGTAGAATTTTAGAAAAATTATTTTATTTTATATATCAATTAATAAATTTTTTTATATTAATAATTATTCTCTAATTATATTTTCTTTTATTTTAACTAAAAAAATAAATAGATAAATAGATAATTTGTAGTAGAGTTTTATAGAAATTATTTTATTTTCTTTAAATATATCATTGTCTAATTAGATAAAGATAATTTGTGCTAGTGTTTTAAAGAAATTATTTTATTTTACTTATTTAATTTTAATTAGTAATTAATTTGTGTCAAAGTTAACATATTTGAAATTGAGTTATCAATAGCACTCTTTTTAATGTTTGGTCAGGTCTCCGTCGACACTTTGAGATCATGGCTCAAAGATGATTGAAGAATTTGCTAATGTTGACAATTCCCATGACTTAAACACTCTTTTTTGTCTTCTTCCTCCTGTTAATGGGGGTGTCTTGCCACCAAGTCGTGCTATAACCTCTGACACGCAGCAGTGGGATGCTATTTGGCACCTTCTGTAAATCAAAATCTACTTGATGAAGAGAGAATTATTCCAGAGATGTAAGGGCCTTGATTTTAGTGTTCTTGGTAAATTTGCCTATACAAACTATGCAGGGTGGTGTGTGGAGACTTCTGTTTAAATCTTTCACAATTGTGTAATTAAGCCACGCAAATAAGAGGTAACAATTTAAAATCAGTATTACACACATGGATGGATCTCTCAACGTTTTCAGTGTTCTTGATAAGTTTGCGTATGCAAACTATGCAGTGGTGTGGAGACTTCTATTTAAACCTTCCACAATTATGTAATTAAGCCACGCAAACAAATGGATTGATCTCTTAACTTCACATTGATTGAAGGCAGGCTCGAATGCCATTTAAAGGTTGTACCCCCCCGGGGGCCGCTCGAAGGTGAATTAAGGCCTCCAAACGTGCCTATTAAATAAAGGCTCGTAAATGGTCACAGAGGAATGCTTTGATTACCCGGTGTGAAAGGACAGATCGACCAAAGGATGGTGAGCTTGCCATGGATTGATCTCTCAACTTACTTTGAGATACTTTGACATGCTATCCAAATCTCTCCTCTTCTTGTTCTCTGAGAGCTTCAGAGAGTTCAGGGCTTTCATTCAAGAATTTCTTATCCTCAAAAGTTACCCATTTGAATTTCTAAAATTCTCAATTTTTGTACCCTTCATCCTTCCTCAATGCCTCTATTTATATACTAATGACATGTGTCCTCTCCTGATAAGGACATAATCATAAATTGGATGAATGTTATTATCTTTTATAATAATAGTATAGATATAAATATAGATTTTGTGTTACAGTTTTATATAAACTCTTTTAATAATAGTATAGATTTATTAGGTAATTTGTAATTTAAATTTTATTAATTTTTTTAAAAAACAAATAAATAAATAGGTAATTTAAATTTTATTAGTTAATTTATAGAGTTTTATATCAATTAATAAATAAATACTGAAACACTGAAACACTTTACACATTTAATAATAATATAGTATATATTAATTTCCGAAAAAACAAAGGTCATTCTTTTTCTAAAAAATACATAAATTAATAATAATAAAAAAATAGGCTATATGAATCCCACTTTCTGGGTAACCTTTTAAAACAAAGGATGGTTTATTGGAGCTATATCCTAACATAAATTTGCAGGTAAGGCCATCTGCACCAGCCTCTCTGAATTTTGGTTCTCTAAAAATGCTACATCAGCTTTTTCAAGAGCCACATCAGCAATTCTAAGAGCCACGTTAGCAGCTTTCGCGTTCCAAAAACATGAACTCCATCAGGCTCTCCGAATTTTCACTCTCCAAAAATCATAATAATAAAAAATTAAAATTATTATTATTATTTTTTTCTTTTCTTTTCCTAAACGGCTATATTCGTAACGGGTATATTTTTAACGGTTATATTTGCAACGACTATATTTTCTCAACGGTAATATTTTTCAATCAAACAATATTTTTGCAAATTATTAAAAAAACTATGATTTATATTAGAACTTGAAACAATACATTATCCATTATGGATTAAAAAAAACGAATTAAACAAAACTATTAAAAATAACTTAAACAATGCAATATCCTAAATTGGAATAAGAAAATAAATAGACTAAGGATTACAAAATCCTATGGGAACTTTGGGGCGGA